GTTGCTGTGAGGTGTTTGTGCCAGTGATGGCAACATCCTGGAGCATAACAACATTCTCTGCAAGTGTTGGTGCTTTAGGGAAAGGATTTGGGAGGAGGATGCTTGCTGTGAGGAGTTTGCAAAGTAAGAAGGATATAAGAAGATGATAAGGAAATGCAAACAGGTGTGAGGCAAATGGTTTAACATGTTGTGTATCTCCATTGTATCTGGTTTCTGTGGTCTCTCATCTTCTACACCTTGTACGTCATCTGTCCGTCATGTAGAGATTTTGCTGGCACGTAGAGACTGAGTCACAACTGGGTGCACATTTCCCTCTCTGTTTTAGTACAGGAGGCTGAGTGAAGTCAGGAGTCAGCAGATGTGTTTCCCAAAGATGGCTGTGTCTGAACCACAGCACACTGAACCCTCACCTTTGAAAGGGGATCAGAAGTAGAGTTGCTTGATGCATGTCACAGTCTATAGTCAGTGGTGTGGGATGCAGAAATGCCCATTACTCATTTCTTCTGATTTTTTCTCAGAATTTTCCTATTAATATCTTGCTAAAACTTTTCAGTTGGTCAGCATGTGAGGCTGTTTGCCTATGGGATGAATCATCATTAGTCATAAAAGATCCCTTACCTCGGAATGGCTTCCCCTTGTGAAATGAGAGGGAGAAGTGGAGAGAACACGCTGCAGTCTTAAGGATCCTGGGAAAGGAAACCCAAGTTGTATTCTCTTTATGAAATGCTTGTTCTATTGATTAATTGATGAAAGTTACTGGAAATTCAGCAATAGTTTTCCCCTAATGTTGATTTATCTTCCATCAAAGCACTTAGTGCTAAAGTGTTGTACACACTGAGTAGCATTTTGCTCCAGTAGCAGTGGGATTATTCTAATATCCATGGATGATTGTGGTTCTTGTGGAGTTGGGGAGCTGCATACAAACCCAGAGATATCCCAACCCTCCTGTGGTTTTGGTTGCAGGGATTGGGAGCTAACGGCATTCGGCTGACCATGGAGAGCGCTCTGACCGCCCGGGACCGTGTGGGGGTGCAGGACTTTGTCCTGCTGGAGAACTTCACCAGCGAAGCAGCGTTCATCGAAAACCTGCGCAAGCGCTTCAAGGAAAACCTGATCTATGTGAGTAGCAGTGACAGACACCAGAGGGTTCATCACTGACCTGGGTTTGGCTCTTTGCTGCAGAGGATGTACCATGGCTTTGCTCTGCAGTTGGGTTTGGAGGTGGTGATGTCAACTTCAACAGGCCATGGTTGCTTCTGTCAGAAGTCATCTGGAGTATGTCGTGTTGACAGATGTAGGGACTCAATGCAGTGCTTCCCTTGAGCTCTGCTGGCATTTACAGCTCTTGCCAGCACTGAATATCCAACTCTCACCACATTTTTCCGTGTCATGAATTCACTCACTTGCTGCAACCCCAGATTTGGACTTGATTCCAAATGGTATATCAGCAATAATCCAGTTTTTGGCTTGTTAGAAGCACTAAAACCTTTTGCAGGTGCTGTTTGTCCAGCAAAGATAACATGTCTGGTCTAACTCCAGCAGTGTCACTCTCACAGCACTAAGAGGTCACTTCCTCAGCACCCTTGGCCTCTTTGGAAACCCTCAGCAGCATCCCCAGTACTGAGTCTCTGAGCCTGTGCTGTCAGACACTCTGCTGCCAGACCTTCTGTGACCTCACTGCTTCTTGTTCTCTTTTCCAGACATACATTGGCTCCGTTCTGGTGTCTGTTAATCCATACAAGGAACTGGAAATCTACAGCAAACAGAACATGGAGCGATACCGCGGTGTCAGCTTCTATGAAGTTTCTCCTCACCTGTGAGTGGCCTGTGGGTAACAGAGCAGTCTGTGCCATTCCCATGCACTTGTGTGCAGTAATGACGTGTCAAAACAAGCAGATAGGACTTTTTCCTTGTCCCAGATGCAGCACTAAAAATCCTAGGGATATAAAGGATCCTCCGGAGGGTGTGGTGTATGGCTCTTTCTATTCCTGTTCCTCTCTCCAAAGAGGATGAGTTGCCTTTGCAAGAGCAGTATTTGGAAAGGGAGTTGGTTCCTTCCTGGCTGGAGGAACAGTGTTGCTTACCCAGCCCTGGCAGGACAGGAGTTCATTGTTCCAGGGTTATTTGGGGTCTCTGTGTCCGGGCCATGAGTTTCTCCAGCACAGGATTGACTA